AATGCCGACGAGACGATCAAGCAGGCGTCGCCCACGACGAAGACGACGACTTCGGCGCAGGGCTCGACGGCGAACCTAGTCCTCGTCCGACGTTGAGCGAGCAACAGGGTCAAGATAGCCAAGCGCCGAGCTGCCGTCCGGATAGCAACCGACAACTGCTTCCACCGGCGTCACCCAACCTGAGCCGTCCATCCCAACGGGCCAGTCGTCGGAGGGCCAGGACGACCAGCAAACGACGGGCACGAGCGGGGCCGGCGCGGCCCAGACGAATGAGCCGTCATCCGGTGCACAGCTACGCTCGCACGGCGTAGTTTCAGCGGTGTTTGCCATGGCTGCTATGGCGGCGATCTATTAGTGGTGATGTATGATCATCTAGATGAGCTTGACTGGATTCCATGAGACGATACGTCTTGCGGTTCATTGTCATCAGAACATAGCTGGCTTTCAGCAACGGACGCAAGGATCTGGACGTATATGATACCCTAGCGGAGGAAAGATGATTATGCTGATGAGAGTATCAGCGCCAGGTGGCAGAACTGGCAAGCCCAGGATGGGCCCTTTTTGCATTTCTTGCCTGTACTACCTTGTAATTGAGCACAAAAGCGTTGTTTTCACCATACCCTTATGTTCCGATCGTTAAGATGCATGATACATGGCGTGATGGCAGGGCAGCCTCCGAATTGCGACAGACCTGGCACTGACAGCCTGCGAAGTCGCCGCTACGTCTAAAGAGGGAATCCGTGCCGTCTGACCAGGTCCCGAGATCCAAGTTCGTACTTGGTGTGACGAGACGGGCCGCCGGGTGTCCCCTCGGGCTGGCCGGGAAGAACCCAGCGGACAGCGTCTCCCACCGAGATGAGTAGCACTGCGATACAGTAGTAACCCGTTTGTTAAATGTGTGTGCATCTCTATTTCTCCAGTACCAACCCAAGCAACCTTGATGGGGCCGTCGGGCGATGACCCTTATCGTCCAAGGGCCCGCCGGCGCCGCCTCGCGCAACAGGTCTGTACGGTTCGGCAATCTGACACCCTCAATGACACCCTCAATGAACCCCTTCAAGGACCCCCTCCCTCCTCTTTCCCACACCCCCGAACCCCTCGAGCTTCCTTCATCCTCACCAAGCGGTCCTGCAGGAAGCGTCAGTCACTACACTAAATACCTATACCAAACTGCGAGTACGTCGATGATGATA